ATGTAAAAAGAAAGAGATATTTTTAGTTTTATTTTATTAAATGTTCAAAATAGTCACCATTATTATTGGTACAAAGTTCCATACTGTCTAACAGTTTGTCGAAAGTTTTTTCAAAATCTTTTTCTGAAGTATTCTTCACTATCCTGAAAACCTTCTGAGCTAGCGATTGTTTTTTTGCTTGATCAGTCAAATTAATCTTGATATAATCATTTAGCCAAAAGCCACATGGTGCAAGATCTAGTGAATATGGTGAATGTGGCATGATTTCAACACCTTCTTCTGTTAAATAATTAAAAACATCCGGATGAGTATGAGAACGGCCATTATCATGAAGTAATTTGATCAATTTTGTGCGTGATGATTTTTCTTGTTTTCATATTTCATTGATAGCAGATTTGAGACAATTTTCAATATAATAGTTGTAATCGATAATTTTGCCTTTATCTATTTTATGCATAAGAACAAGGCCACTTGATTTAAAGAATAAACAAAACAATGTTCTGGGTTCAAATCTATTTCGATGAACTGTAGTCTTTGACAGTTTATTTTTACTAAGCCAGATAGTATTGCTTGATTTTCGATCAATCTGCCTATAATAAATCTATGCCTCATCACCAGTAATAATATCACATAACTGCCGTCTTCGATTTCGAAATTTTTCGAAATTTTGACGACAAACTCTAAGTTGTTCTTACTTCTGTTCGTCATTGAGTTGATGGGTAATCCAACATGATGTAACGTTTCTCATCTTTAGACAATCATGAATAATTCGTTCTGTTGTACTATGAAAGAGAGAAGTCTTAGCTATAATATCATCATAAGTTGAAGGTGGATCATCTTCGATACCTTGTCGAATGAGTTCAATATTTTCATTTGTAAGTACCAAAACCGGACGACCAGATCAAGAGTCATCGTTGTCATTGACACCTCTCCCTTCAGGAAAACGTTTTGCTCATCTTTTGATTGTTGGATATGATGGAGCATCAGGTCCCAATGCTTCTGTAAGTTCTTCGCAGATTGTTTTTGCATATATTCCCAAAACAGCCCGAATTTTAATATAGTATCGATTAAATTCATTATCCATTTTAAACAACTTTCTTAAAAGTTGGAATGAGATTTTGTCACGTCTTTAGGTTGGGTTCGATATCAAATAGAAACCATGATTTGGAAGAGCTGGTTTATTCACATGAGAAAAATAACTGAACTGACAACGAGAGATCTCTCAATTCACAATATATCTGTCAAAATATGTCACGTATTGCGATATACGTAATAGATTTGCTATTTCGTAATAGAAATATTTAGTACGTAATAGAAATAGAAAAGGTCAAGATCCATATCAAGTTTGTCGACTGCAGAAAACAAACAAATATGGAGTGGTGAGATGAGAAGAAACGAGAGAAACGAATAATTCTCACACTTCAAAGGAATGAAACAACATAGATATATAAATAACTAGTTGGCGTGGACCTAAGAACAGAACGAAAAGAAGAAAATAGAAAAACAACCACGAAATAACAACAGTTAGTATCACTATATCACAAAATATAACATTCTAGAAGATAACATCAGCAAATATCATACGAGAGAGAGATGAAAAATCGTGAAAAGTTCCAGAATATACCCGAACATTGGACAAGAGATAGTCACATGATCGTATAGTTACTATATCACAGATTTCATCTGAAAGAATGCTAGAATTCAATCCAAGATAGAGTTGTTATATACATTGTTGTAGACGAGATATTCTACTATGTATTCATGCAATAAGACTTTCGATATTAACTGTTTTATAAAATTTTAAACGTTGGGATCAGAACTATTGATCAATTGTAAGTAATTAAATAGCTATATGTTATTTTTGAAAGCATCTCTTCTAAGAATCTACGGCAGAAATAACTAGAATTAGTTCTATTCTGATATTTTCAAACACAAATTGAAACATTTCTCTGGAATATACACAATCTATCGTGTAGTGTGAGAAAAGAAGTTGTTTATTATTGAATGAGTCTCCTCCAATGGGTGAAGATAGGAACAAACCATATGAAGCAAGCTGCACAAGAAAAAAACAAGACAAGTCTTATCTTAACCGTGCTCTAAAGAGAAATGATAAAAGCGCTTTTTAATATAATAACTACACTTCTGACTCGAACGTAGTAATACAGACGAAGACTACAAAATGAGTATTATTCAAGATATTGAATTGAGCAGCGAGCGCTTGGCTGAAGCAAAAGCCGCCGAGCAAACCGAAGATACCAACGAAACCGCTCCGACAGCCGAAGAATTAACAACATTAAAACACATCTCGGATAGTATACCATTAGCGGCTCGGCTGATTATCGTTTGTGAATTTTGTGAACGTTTTGCCTTCTTTGGGCTCTCTGGTGTCTTTCAGAATTATATTCAATTTCCGATACCTGGTCCGAATGATAAACAGGCAGGTGCCCTCGGTCGTGGACAACGCACTGCCACCTTATTGACAACGTTCTTTACATTCTTGTGTTATCTGACGCCCATCCTTGGTGCAATTCTAGCCGATCAATTCTGGGGCAAATACAAGACAATTTTCTTCGCATGTGTGACCTACATGATCGGCCTTCTCGTTCTGGTCTTGAGCAGTACACCACCCTCCATTCATATAGGCCTTGCTTTTCCTGGCCTGATTGTGGCAATGATCATCTTGGGTTTTAGCACTGGTGGTGTAAAGAGCAATGTTAGTCCACTGATGGCTGAACAATATACCAGAACAAAACCAATTGTTAAAGGTAACAATAAGATCCTTTGCAGGAGGAAGATTAATCTTGTTGTTTATTTGCAGAAGTCAGAGGCGAAAAGAAAATTATCGATCCGAAAATGTGAGTTCATGAAATATTTACTATCATATTTCCTAGACTGTGTTGTCTGTATTATAGAACAGTGCAGTCAATGTTCAATTGGTTCTATTGGGCCATTAATTTAGGTGCACTATCATCGGTCATTACCACTAATATCGAAAAATATCATTCGTTTTGGCTCGCCTATCTTATACCGATGGTTGTATTCACCGGTTCCATCGCTGTTCTACTTGTTGGTCGTCATCGGTATACTCGAAAAGCTCCAAGTGGTTCATTGATTATTCGTGTGTTTCATGTGACAATAAGAGCTATTCAAATGCGATGGGGGCTGGGTAAACAAAATAGTTGCCAACATTTTTTGGATTACGCAAAAGACAATCTATCGCCGATTGTTAATGATGACAATCAGCCGGTGATGGAATCAAATAACAACCAATTTATTGAAGATCTCAAGCAAGCATTGAGTGCTTGTCGTGTCTTTGCTTTCTATCCATTTTATTGGATTTGTTATAATCAATTGGTGAATAATCTGATATCGCAAGCTGCACAAATGAATGTTGGTAAGTCCGTGATTTCTATTGGAATATCCAAGAAAACTGACCGTTATTCGATCTGTAATTTATAAATTTCTCTCTAGGTCCTCTACCCAATGATGTCTTACAAAATATTGATCCGATTGTTCTGCTTATTTTCATTCCGGTCTTTGACATACTAATCTATCCTGCTTTGCGACGGTATAAAATTAAGTTTACCTCGATCTCTCGTATCACGTGTGGTTTCTTTTTTGCTTCCATCGCCATGGCTTGGACATCATTCGTTCAACATTTAATTTATTCAACTGGTCCGAACTATGACTACAGGATTCAGCCATGTTTGACGTGTCAAAAATTCAACAACATCACTGCTGCTTGGCAAATTCCATCGTATTCTTTAATTGCTATCTCCGAAATTTTCGCATCCATTACTGGTCTTGAGTACGCCTTCACAAATGCACCATCATCAATGAAATCCATAGTCATGTCACTTTTTCTCTTTACATCAGCGATCAGTAGTGCCTTGAATTTTGCACTTCTTCCAGTGACCATCGATCCAAAATTGCTGTGGATGTATGCAGCACTGTCGATTGTGGCATTCGTCGCGGGTACTCTTTTTTTTTTGTGTTTTCGAAATGAACAAGAAAAATACGAAAAGAAATAAGTCGACAAATAAATTAGGTTGATCTGTGTCTTTCTTTATACATCGTTTTATTGTCTAGATAAACATCAACAAATATTCGGTCTAAACCAGCACATTGCCTTATTCATCTTTTGTTTCTATATTGTGAGATCGCTGATCACGGAATTAAATCCCAAATGATGAGTATTCTGCAATCAAATTGTAAGATATTTATACCAGCGATGTCCATCGCGGCTCAAAATCTGCCGCTGCCGCGCCGCGGCCAAAATCAAACAAAGCTGCCGCGATGGTATTCGAAAAAATGTTTTGATTTTTAAGGCTGTGACTCGTTTGAACTAGAACTGATGCTGCTAATCGACCAGATTTGTTAAGTCTTACAGTATAGCATACACGAACATGCAGACTCTGTGCAAATTCATGAATTTTTGAAATTTTTTCCTAAAAAAAAGCTGCCGCCGCCGCGCCGGCAAAATAAAAATCTCTCCCGCACCGCTGCCGCGCTGCGATGGACATCTCTGATTTATACACACTTTCAGAAATCCATGAATGGATATCATTACTGAGAACTAGCTTTCAAAGATTGAGAAAAAAGCATACATGTGCCAAGAATTTTCAGACACAAGTCCAAGATAAGAGGATTATTGAATCGAGTCAGTCAATCGAAATGATTCGTCGAAGTATTTCTGATTAATGACTTGTATGATGTCTTACACGGCAAGTTCATTCAAGTTATTCTGAAATACCTTTGTTATGAAATGTTCTGATCCTTATGAATTTTTTTGTAGATTTTATTTCCATTTGGCACACCCGTAAATTTCCATCATAAGCACCCAATCGACACAATAAACCATAAGCTCTCTAACTATTCTTTCCATTAGTATCCTCACAAAGACAATAGACTTTTGCATTCGGTGATATATAAATCTGTAATATAGTAATTCTAGAATAATTTTAACATATATGAACAGAAAGCGAAAGAAGTAGGTAAGTTATATGAAGTCCATATTCGATCTTTTCTAGGACCAATTCATCTAAAACCTGTTCCTAGTAAAACTCGACAAACTTGATCCGATGCTGAAGGTCGCTTTCGATATATCTTATATTACCCGAGGTACACCGAAAATACTGGTTTTTCTTCTATTAGATGAATTCAAACCAACAGTCATTTTTGGATAGATTCACCGCGACACATGTTCAAACACAATTATTCATGTTTCAAGTTTAACTCGACAACCTCTATTAGATGGTAAAAGTCATTTCTTGATAGCCCACCCTCATGCAAAAAAGTCAATTTTTTAAAGGAAGAACACGACTACATGGTGTAATGATGATTTCTCGATAACAATCTGTGCTATCGAGAGAAGGTTTTCTGCATTAGATAGAGCGCGTCAAGTTGAACTTTAAACATGAATAATTTTGTTGAAATATGTTCCTCGACGGATCGACGCAAAAAATTTACTGTTGGGTTGAATTTATCCAGCGGAAGCAAAACCGATATTTTTGTTGTTTTTGGTTATTGTAAGATATATTGAAGAAAGATTTTCAGCATTGGATAGAGCTTGTCGAGTTCTACTTGGAACATATGAAACTAGTATTGGAATATGTTCCTAGATGAATCGATCCTAAAAAAAGGTCGAGACTGAACCTCACATAACCTACATGAAAGAAGTTATCTTTCTCTCTGATTACTTAGAGATATTCTATATTTACCATCCAAGTGGAAGGAAAAGTTTCCCCTCATAATAACTTCTTAGTTAGCAAGCTTTGTTAACATACTTACAATGATAAAACTTCGTTTTGTTGCATAGTTATGTTACAGATAATAAGTCATACTTTTTCATCCATTCTAACAAAACAATCATTTTCTTGATTGAATATATATAAATTTCTTTCCATCGTCTCCAATTAAGTAAATCAGTTTTAAGCATTGTTTTATTATGAGTACTGCTTTCCTTTTTGTTAAATAAAAAGTGGAAAATCGTTTCTTTTTTACCGTATAGTATAGTTACAAATAGTGCCATTGTTTTTTATCCAATTTGATAAGGATCATTATTTTTAGCACAGAGAGATCACTTTTGGATAGTGTTTCTTCAATGTGCATTAACTCAATTTTTAGGAAACCATTTTTCTTTCGTATCATGCAGATATATATATTAGGTCTTTATACCTGTATCCGTTCGAATGTTCAAGATTTCAGAAGTATTTCGAAGACATCAAGTCATTTTCCGAAACTTCCTATGACTGTGTGCAATCTTACTAGGCTTCTTGAGACTTCATGAAGCTCCAAACAGATTTCAAATATTTATATATATCATTTACAGATATTGGCTCTTTATTATTCATCCATCGTAGCAGAAAAACATCGTATTTTTCACATGGACAGACAGAAAGAGTATTCCGCCATTTTCAATATAAATTCTAATGGAGACACATTTTTTTCACTTGTTGAACTTAGAGATGTTATTGCTGTATTTTTCATTCATCTCAATTGATTAAAATATCTTGTTTCTACTGAGTCACTTGATAATATGTATTTTTTTGTTCTTTCTGACCTACTCCTAATATAGATTATTTTTTTTGATGTATATAATTGAGTCAGATATAATCTTCTTTAGGTTTTTGTCTATCTCAATGCAAAATTTTTCTTGCATTATTATTCAGTTAAGGATAATCATCAATTATCAATTTATTCTTTAATAGAGGAATCCTTTCTTTTTGTAAAGATAACATGTAGATACTAGTCTTTTTTTTCTAGGTTGATGACAATATCCACTAATTGATTTCATTGACAAGGTACATTAATAGGTATCTGAGTATCGATGTGTTGCTGATTGGTAGAAGAATCTATTTAATTTATTCCTAATAAAAAAAGTGTTTTCTTTTCGAATAAATATAAGACACCTAGCGATCTTGTAATTTTTGTCTATCGTAATAACAAAAAAAAGATCATTTTATTCGTATTGCTAAATCAGAGATCTAGTTCTATCTTTTTCATTCATCCTGGTATAAAAAATAGTTTTCTCATATATATATATGACTTGGAAATAATGATTCTAGCTATTTCGTCTATTCTAGTAAAAAAAATATTCCTTTCTTTAATCTCTAATTAAAGACAGTCATCTTTTCTCACATCCTTTTCATCGCTCATATAGATAAAATTTTTCCTTTTTCTGTTTCGATAAAATGATCCTTTTCTTTTTATAATCATCGCACTCGAAAATTTCATTCTGTCGGAGAAAATTTAGTTTTGTTTTCATGATGCCAAGTTAAAGAATAGTTATTCATCGCTTACTATCTCAATCGAGAAAATTATTTCTTTTTCATGATAGTAGTTGTGTAAAGATCGTAAACTTCGCTTTTTTTTCATCCGTTTTAATAGCGAAAATCGACTTTCTCACATGATATACGATGTAAAAATCTTTGCAAAAACTTCAAACTCTACTAGATCGTATTTCTGACTTCTAAACCAACGAAAACTTTTTTTGTTGTAAAGCGCAAAATCTGAACTCCAAATTGTTTATTAAACATTTTATCACAATGAAGAAAAGCCAAAAGTCAAACTACACTAAAAGAAACTTGTTTCAACATTTTCGACTTGAAAAGCCTATATTTCTTAATTATTTTGAGTTACATACATCCAAACTCGAACAAAGAATACATCAAAATGTAGCACATGAACAATTCTATCAATGCCATCTTTGGTAAAATGTTTTAAAATTATTCTTGTCTTTCTAATTAAAAAATTTTGAACCATGAAATATTTGTAAAATTGAGTCTTTTGCAAAAACATCAATCATCATCATCAAAAATCATGCAAGAATGAATTGAATTCTCTCGGTATTATTTGTTCGAAATATGTTCAATCGTAGAAATTTATTAGAAAAAAAATTAATTCAAAAAAATACTTTTTATTAAAAAATGATGTTACTAGATGATGAAGTTACAAGGAATTTTTTGTAGAACTTTTGAATTTTCGGCTTTTCCTCATTCTCAAATTTCGTCTGGAAACATATACAGCTGATACAATGTATTAGACTTTACTTTTTCGAACAAAAAAAAAACATTGATTGATTTAGAAATCAACTACGCAACTTAATAGAGTTTGACACTTTCTCAATGACTTTTGCATCGTATATTAGATGGATAACGAATAGTACTTCTATATTTCTTACCGATCCTAAAACAAAAATTCTTAGATCTCATATGTATAATTAAATTGCACCTAATATTCCTTTACTTTACATTGACTAGATTTTAAAATGGATACCTAGCATAAACTAATAATTGATCTAATTCAAAGCTTATATTTATTAAATTTCATCAGATAATCCAATTAATAAAGATCGGCAGGTGCTCATAGCAAGAGTATTACCAAAACTTATACTAATGAGAATCATATTATTGTGAACATGGATGACGCACCAGCACTATGATGAGAAGCTATAGAAATTTGTGACTCCGCTGAATTTTCCACTCTCTCTCCTGCTATAATCAGCAATCTCCAAAATCTACCGCTGGATCAGGACTAATAAATAATCGTAAAGCAGTTCCTATATGTCTACGACTGACTATACGATATTTAACGAATTCGAACAAAAGAATTAAAATTTGATTAATGAAAAGCAATGGCTAATCTTCTTTGCTATTTGTTATCAATAAAAGTGGAGTTATCATTTGTGATTTGTTTTCTTTTTAATAAAATTCACAAAAATGTCTGGAAAAAATAAACTTGTTGCTTCACAATCAGAAAGTAAATCAACTATGTACTAATATTAAATAGTTAAACCATCCGGAAATGACAGTATTTTCATCTTCCTAGCTAATTATTACGTCTATATCAGACAATCTTTTACATAAATGTCAAAGTGAGACCACAATGACAAAAATCTTTGAGTTTTTCCTACATTGTTTCAAATCCTTTTCCTTTTCAATAAAAATTACTACACTAATTATGAAGATCATAATGTACTGTCAGATGATTTTTATACTCAAGCTTTCATACATTGTGTCTTTGATGAAAATTAAATTCAAGTGACAAAAATATGCACTATTCGGACAGGAGAGATGATATAGATTCGTTCAAAAGTGTACTACTTCCGTAAGAAAAATTGATCTTACGTCGCTCATGATTGTGTGTCAACATTGTTAATTTCTAAAAAATAATTATATTAGTCAAAAAACAAAAACATTCATCACATGAAAGAGGCAACTCGTATCTCTCATTATTTGGATTAACCATTCACAAAAAAAAAAAAAAAACATTGATGATATTTATTTTTGTTTTCAATTCTTCCGATCCAAAATAAAACAATCACACATATTTTCTTTTTAATGACATTCTTTGATTTTTAATCAGATTTCTTTCATATTCACAATGCTTACTTTTACTATCAACAAACATTCAATTTTTCTTTTTTCTATTATCATATTATTAATCATATTGTGTCTATAGCAATACTAATTAGAACTTATCGATGATTATTACACGTATCGAATAGAATTATATATCCGATGATAATTTGTTTAAGAAAAACAAAACAGCATAACTTATTCACGCTTATATGACAAAACCAATTGATACGTCACATACTTTATTCTGAGAATAACACTTATGTTAGTATTGTTGCAATTGACAAGACAAACAACTGATCTCAATATTGTTATTCTGGATAAAATATAAAGCATTCAAATTTGACACATTAAATACAATATTGCAGTGCAAATTTAAATATAACATAAATTATTTATGTGTGAATTAGTTACATAATCATTCCATCAATTAACTTTCACTCTACATTCAATTAATTGTAGACGATCATCATTTAGAGTCTTATTGTCATGCATAGCTAATGAATTACTCACTAAAACAAATAATTCATTGAGTTGACAAACAAAAAAAAAACAACTGACTTGTTTTATTTTCTTTTTTTTTCAAGAACACTATCTTCAAAGAAACATGAAACAATAACAACAAGCTGGTCTAGGAAATTTCATTCATTTTCACAGTAATATATGTATTCATGTTGTGATAAAATAAATTCGATAGTCATGTGTTTCGGCGACACTTTTATATTCTTCTTCTTTTCTTTTCTGTATTGATCATTAGAAGAACATAGACAAAACAAGCATGATGCTGACAACTGATATGATAGATTTACTTTTAAATCTAGATAACACACAGTTCGATTTCACATTAATGTAATTTGACGAGACAAAAAAAAACTGAGATCAAAGGATTTTTCACACTTCATGATCATTTTGTCTTTTTAAAAAATATTTTAACAAGATCTTATATATATATATATTTTTCTTTTTGTCCAACTATGATCAGCTGATTAAATAAAAACGAAAACAAAAAAAAAACAAGATGTGTTTCCTTTTACGTTCGAAAGAGAGAGAAAGAGAGAAAACATTTTTTTCTTCACATCATTTCATTTTCAACAGCTGCACATACATACATACGACGACTGTCAGACAGTCAGTCAGTCAGACGTGTCTGTTTGAATAAGAAGAAATCTTCTCTTGTTAAAGCTATCTGTTCAATTTCTTCCTCGTTTTTTTTTCTCACTCTCTCTTTTCTCTTCGTACTGGAAAAAAAATTCTAATAAATA